GGACATATGTAGTAGCTTGTATTCACACGTTGCTAATTACATTGTCTCCGGGCCTGGGTCGCGCATTTAAGTTGCGGTATTGTTGATTATTCGAAGCCTTTGAAGAAGCAATCTCCCTTGAAAGTCATAAATACTCGTTCATTGGTGCATATAATTGAAGTTACGACGCAATGAAGAGCAACCAAATTAGCCAGCAGATTGAAATGGTTGCCCCACGAGAGATGGCCAGAAAGGCGAAATCTATCTTCCCTATTATAGAAAAGGCAGAGGGCATATGATTATGACCTTCATAATCGTCAGGGGGCTGGACAGTACTCTTCATTTTGGTGACCTATTTGAGTTGGCACAAATAGCCACCCTTTGAGTTCATCAATCCAAACTGAAGGCAAGCTACACCAGACATGAAGTGCGGGCTGAAAATATCTCCCACCGGGTGGATGAAGAATGGAACAAGCTGCCAAACTCGGCTGTCTCAGATGAGGAAGTGGATGCATTCGAAATAAGGTTCTGCTTGACGATCATAAACTTACTCGGTGTCAATGACTGACATACTGAATCCAACATGTTTTGTAAATTTGTGTGTGTGTGTTGCTCGTCTGTTGCGTTTGCCTATTCTGAGCTATCAAAATGCTTTTTCCGGTACGTGAAATAAATTTTGTTCAAGTGATGGAAATAATTTCAATTAGACTACAGTTTACTTTTTGAATATACGTAAAAGCTAGGATCGCAGAAACTTACTCTTTTGAACAAGGAACCTAACAGATTAACTTTACGTAAAAAATTACTATCGATGTATGTCACTTAGGAGGCTTTTTATCAGAGTTATTCTTCCAGGGCGACAAAATAATGAAGATAATTGAATGCATGACTCAACAAACAAAATCCGGGAAGAATGAATGTGCAGATCGTCCAAAGGATCTGTTGACACTGGGTAACTATTTTTCCACTTGATATATGAGATGACCCAGCATCAAGGGCGGTCAGAACCAAAGGGACTGTTTCACGAGCAACCGGCTAAAATAATTAGTATGCCTGGAGTTTATGAAATTTCTTTGAAGGCTTTTCTTAGACAAACTGATTAGCTGTCAACGATACTTAAAGAGGCCTAAGGCATGATTGTGAAAACTGCATTTTCAGAATATCCGGTCGACAACACTCTTTACGAGAAAGTGTAAGGCACCCATCGGCAAATTTAACATTTTGGCATCAAGAAAACTGATATGACCGTGACCAGCGGAGATACGTCAGTGGTCTAAGAATGGGTATGTCGACAAAATGTTTGATAGAAACCCTACCTAAATAATCTGCCTCTTCAACAGAGCGACGTTTACGCACCGTGGGAGAAGTCGCAAAGTTCAGTTTCATTGAGCTTTATATCAAGAAAAGGTTATGTAGGTTTCTGCAGCTTTGAGTGTTGCATAAGATAGGAAAAGTGGGGGGCAGTCTTGAAAAAAGGACAGTTAGACAGGCCGCTCACCGTTTGCGCGCTTTAGCATGACATAGACCATGCCAGTGTCGATTGTGGTCAGAATTATGATGTTCTTGGTCCTCCTCAGCGATTATAGGACTGGAGTGAAATGTAGCAGAAGATATTCGTAGACAAAAGCAAACAGAGACAAACATGCCATGCAATAACGACAAACTAACCCTTCAGGAGAGAGTTAATCGCATCTGTAGATGTCTGCCTACATTTCTCGAGACTGAATTTCAATAGTGTTCAGAAGATAAAGATGCGATCACCGGAACAAGAAATTTATTTGCCTGACGTTTCGGATCCTTACTCGAATCCATCATCAGAGACATTAGCAGATAAAGGTAATTGTGGCACCAGGAGTGCAGTATTTATAGCACGTGGCTGCCGTGGGACCGCATGCGCACTGGAAATAACAGTTCTCGTAATCAGAAGAAGAAGCGATCGCTGGAACAATGGCTTTGTTCGCCTGACGTTTCGGATTCTCTCTTGAATCCATCATCAGAGACAGTTGCAGAAAAGGGTGGCTAGTGTACAGGAAGTCGCAGTATTTATAGGATGCGGTCACCATGCTACCGCATACCTACAGCAATTAACCGTGCTCCCTTCATCAAGTTCTCGTAATCACCGCTGGGGCCGTAATTGATGCGGTGGTGGCTTGTCGGTCCGAGTCCGAGTCGTTAATTGCCGCGATTTCGTCATCCGTGCTGGATGCTGGTGTGACGGTTGCTCGGCAAACTGGCTCACTGTCACCGTGATGATTGCTCGCCCACGCCCTCCCCACGTGACTGATTCTCCTGTCCAGGGAAAATCGTAGTACGCTATAGGGTACCGGGAGGTCATTGTGCTTGTTGATGGATTGCGGGCCTGAGAACCATGACTCGAGCAGCTCGCGGCTCACGCGGTTGTCATCCCTTGCGAGGATTTTGGCCTCTTGAAATTTGAAAATATGGCCGGGTCCCGTCGAGTGTGCCGCCACTTGAGAGTTAGCGTCTCCCCGCCTCACTGCTGCTGCATGCTCGGCAATTCGCGTACGGAGTAATCTCCCAGTTTCTCCGACATAATTGCTTTGTCCGCAACTACACCAGATCCGGTAAATGACTCCAAACGTGTCCTGCCGTGGCAGCGGGTCTTTTGGCCTCACGACTTGGCGCCTAATGGTTGCTTCCGGCCTGTGTGCAACCCCAACTCCAAGTGGAGTGAGAAGACGACTGACGGCTTCCGAGACGTTCTTCACGTACGGAAGAGCCCGCCAAATGAAGGGAACGCCAATGGGTTCGCCGATTTCGGGACTCATAGCCGAGGCGGTCCTACAACGGCTGGAGTCGCTGGTTTTCCGACACCACAGACCGAAATTTTGGGCTCGGTATGTGGATGACACCTTCGTAGTCATCGAACGGGATCAGGTGCTGACGTTCAAAGAACAACTCAACGCCGTCTTCCCGGACATCGAATTTACGATGGAGGAGGAGGAAAACAATCAGCTGGCCTTCCTGGATGTCCTCGTCTGCCGCAAAGATTGTGGTGGTCTAAAAAACAAAGTGTTCAGGAAAGCGACATATACGACGCAAATACTGAACTTCAATAGCAACCACCCGATCAGTCACAAACGCATTTGCGTAAGGGCGCTATACCGGGGCGTTGAGACGCACTGCAGTGAAATGGAAGACAAGGTTGCTGAACTACAATATCTTCGACGGGTAATGAGAGCCAATGGTTACCCGCGCAGCTTTGTCAACCAGTGCATACGAAAAGGACACCAGAGACCAAATCCAACCGGACCCAAAGTTCGGCGGGCTCTTCCGTACGTGAAGAACGTCTCGGAAGCCGTCAGTCGTCTTCTCACTCCACTTGGAGTTGGGGTTGCACACAGGCCGGAAGCAACCATTAGGCGCCAAGTCGTGAGGCCAAAAGACCCGCTGCCACGGCAGGACACGTTTGGAGTCATTTACCGGATCTGGTGTAGTTGCGGACAAAGCAATTATGTCGGAGAAACTGGGAGATTACTCCGTACGCGAATTGCCGAGCATGCAGCAGCAGTGAGGCGGGGAGACGCTAACTCTCAAGTGGCGGCGTTTGGAGTCATTTACCGGATCTGGTGTAGTTGCGGACAAAGCAATTATGTCGGAGAAACTGGGAGATTACTCCGTACGCGAATTGCCGAGCATGCAGCAGCAGTGAGGCGGGGAGACGCTAACTCTCAAGTGGCGGCACACTCGACGGGACCCGGCCATATTTTCAAATTTCAAGAGGCCGAAATCCTCGCAAGGGATGACAACCGCGTGAGCCGCGAGCTGCTCGAGTCATGGTTCTCAGGCCCGCAATCCATCAACAAGCACAATGACCTCCCGGTACCCTATATAGCGTACTGCGATTTTCCCTGGGCAGGAGAATCAGTCACGTGGGGAGGGCGTGGGCGAGCAATCATCACGGTGACAGTGAGCCAGTTTGCCGAGCAACCGTCACACCAGCATCCAGCACGGATGACGAAATCGCGGCAATTAACGACTCGGACTCGGACCGACAAGCCACCACCGCATCAATTACGGCCCCAGCGGTGATTAAGAGAACTGTTAATTGCAGTGCGCATGCGGTCCCACGGCAGCCACGTGCTATAAATACTGCACTCCTGGTGCCACAATCACCTTTATCTGCTGATGTCTCTGATGATGGATTCGAGTAAGGATCCGAAACGTCAGGCAAATAAATTTCTTGTTCCGGTGATCGCATCTTCATCTTTTGAACTGCTACCTGGAACTCGCCTGTTCGCTTCTATCTTTAGTAGTGTCTTCAACTTCAAAGTTAACGAGAGAGATAGCTGTTCTGAAACTCCCTTTTAATGAGTGAAGACGGCAAATCTGGGACTGGTGATCGTTTTGTAGCTCAAACGTTTTTTTCGATTAGAAATAAAAGACAGGGAAAAAAACGAGAAAGATTGAGGGTGGCGATGATGATGATGATGATGCTGCTGCTGATGATGATGATGATGCTGATGGTGATGATGCTGATAACCAGAGGAGGAGCAGGAGGGGATACAGTCACCGGAACAAGTCTATCCACACGACCTGCCGGATTTCCACTTAAACCCATCATCGAAAACAGAAGCAAGTAAGGGTAATGAGCACACAGGTGTTGCGGTTTGTTCCTTACCAATAGTCGCGACTGCCTTTGTTGATGGGTTCAAGTGAAAATCCGGGAAGTCACGTGAATGAACTTCTTCTTGCTATCGAATCTCTTTATTTTAAGCTTCTTCCCGAAACAGGTTAATTCACACAAAACAAAAAATTATTAGAAAAGTGTACTTGGCCTTTATTCGCCTACACATGGAAAATAGGAATCAGGTTTGGCTCCATCGACTGAAAAAGACCACAACCCACTATGTGTGAATGTGATGCAGGGTTGTAGTCAAAATCACTTATGATTCTCCTGTAAACCGTCCAAATAAAACGACAGAAATCGCAGTGTTTGGAAATCGTAAAAATAGATCCAGTTTCCTTCTCTGGTTTATTCCATTCAGATTAACGGCAAACCTAAGGAATCTTACAGGGTCCCAATAAAGCACGAGGGAACGCGACCGTTTCCTGCAGCTAGATGAATTCGTAGTGTTAACTGTTATGACCCGGCCTGGTACTTGAAAGCACCTGGGGGGCGTATGCTTACCCGACTCTTGTCCCCAATACCAACGCGGCAGAGGAGAAGAACGAGACCGGCCGCGGAAATGCCATGGATATCTGCTGGATGACGTTTTACAAACGTCATCGAAGTCGGTGTGTTCAAAACAGATGCAAACGTGAAAATTTTAACAAGGCAGGATATGGCAATTGAGACTTCTAAAGTGTTACAAAATGTTTGCTGTTAGATGTGGTCGGACCCACGTCCGCCGACTCAGTCCCATTTTTGAGTTCTCATAATACGCCTTCCTTTGTGTGGCTTATTTAACATGTTTACATGACTTAAACGGTAAGCCCACTTTCTATATAAGTTACTGATCTATAACAACCACGGCCAGATTCTCACATTCCCTATATCCGATCATGCGCCGGAGTATGAGTTTGAAACGTCAGATGAATAAGTCATCATCCCCAGAGCTCACCTTACCATCTTCTTAAACATATACATGTATTATTGACCTTTATTCGTTTTGAAGTCTTACACGGCATACACCGAATCCTCTAATAACTAGATTACGACAGCAGAAAATCCTCCTAAGGAGTGTTTTCTGCCTGGATTACCTGCTCATTCTATTTGATGGCAAATAATCATTGGGACAAAGAGCAGTACATTGTCTTAATTAGGAACAAGAAAAACCCCGTTGGTTTAAGAACGACAAGTAAGACAGTTTGACATTTATTCACTAATAGCCACCCTAGGACAAGTTTTTTAATCAAACGCCAGACGGTTATTCCTTGTTTTAAAGAGAACATTCAGGCTGGATTTTTCCAGTGGGGTTTTACGTCACCATGGAAAGCCTCTACCTGAATGATGAGCAAACGCGTGCTTAAGGAAGCTGACTTCTCTTTGATACGTTTTGCCCTCAATTTATAATTTACGTCAGATGGGCTGCATTCTAAGCGGAGAGCTCTCTTCTCCCTTGAGTGATCATATCACAAAGTCGAGCAATTAACTATGTTCACATTTTAAAAGTTGGCATTTAAGAAGCGCGTGCATGCTAAAATTGCCAGGTAGTGAAATTTCTGGCCTGACCATAAAAATCCATGTTTCGGAAACTTACCTCGTGTTTTGCATTTAGTAATTTTTAAAACCATTTACTTCGTATTTATATTACAATGGTATTCCACCTATCCAACTGCACGAACGCACATGTTCGGTCTTTTGTCCTGGGCCCCCTATAAAGGACCTCTTGAACAGTTACGGATCAACAAGTAAATCAAAGGTTACGAATATCGACATCGTAGATTTATTAAGAGGTAGGGTATAAAAGCTAGAGAACACTAATTCTTACTTCTTTGCGCTCTTTGACAGTTCCAAGTTCGGTCGTCGCATATTATTTTGGCTGCCCCGGAAATTCATGTTATAAAATGGACATCAGCCCATAAAAATCTACGGACGGAAATTATGTAAACACTTAGTTTATGACACATAGAAGAGCGCACCTTATTAGCATAAGTCCACGGCGACCTCCGGAACAGTTTGTTATCCGTCTGTATTTTACGGTCATTATATTTGTTACCAATGCGTGAAAAAGAAAGTAAAGTAAAATACTCATTTTTAGTACAGTCAAAATGACCTCACTCCTGGTTCATATTTAGTGAGTGCTGCATCTCGGAGTGTTTACCATCACCCCCGAACTTCCTGACTGTACAAGAACTAAAATCGTACTGATGAAATTATCGATCCAGTACACATTGCACGCTGAATTACCTGCATTTCATAGACAGCACATGAAACCATACGTAGACTATTAAGTCCACTGTCTGTCGTACTAATTAGGATCGTAACTGTAGACGACATGTTAAGCCTTCCGTCTTATGCCCTTTAAAGGTCAGTTGTTCCTGTTTGAAGTGTCATAGCATCGCCGTTCTAACACTCAATATTTGCTTTCCGTATTTAATCAGCTTACAGAAGAGGGAGTTTACTAAAAGGCGCTTCTTCTTTTCTTTAGGCATAAGTATTAAGACATGCAATTTAGTTTTGTTTCGATAAACACAAAGTTTTCACAAGGTTTAAAGTAAATAAAGATATTTATTATTGCACGGCCTTATTTCGTTAGCAATAGACTGAGGACACTATGGAAGCACAAGCCAAATCAGAGGGGTTTGATATTACATCCCAACACAGCTTCGTTCTAACAGAAACTATGCGGAACAATGAAGGTAAGAGCACTGTCGTCATAAGAGACAGCGGTCAGGACCTAATCCTCATACATTTTCATGAAAATTAAATTCAAATTGACGTTGCTAATCAAACTTGACGTTGACTTTTTTAATCATGAGGAAGTTTCGGATGTTGGTGTTTATGATATGGGCTGTCTAAGGTCTATGTCGTTTTGTATCTCAACTGATTACTCCTGATTTGTCATTGGACAGACCCTACAAGCTATCCATTTTCTCTTTGAGAATATATAATTTCATTAGGTTTTTGTAGCTTTTTAATTTTTCCTGGCTTCAATTTTAAGGATTTGCTCGCTTCATCAAAAACAGTAGGCTATGCTGGATGACGGTAATCTCTTGTTCTATCAATTGTCTTTTAGTCCATGTTTGCACACATTATACCACGTTTTAAATTTCAACGTTTATATCGGTTAGATTACATGGCACCAAAATAGGCTGTTGCATAAACGAAACCGTTTGGCTCTATTTTATCTGCAAATTGTTAGTGAATATGATTTTGTTTGAACTTTTCACGAAAGTCTGGAAGGCGACAATTTTAATGAAGGAAAATGGCAATTGCAAAGAAAGAACGATGCAGAAATGAAATTTTCTCTTTCCATTGATTATTTGTTCAGTGTGGCTGAACCTAAGCACAAGGGTGATATTAAATACAATTCAAAACTGACGAGGTCTTTAGCAAGCCTTTAAAGTAAAAAACTTTGTTGCTGTTTGATTGTTCCACTGACAAATGTCGATAAAGTCTCGACTTTGTGCGTTCAAGATAAGATGCTGACTGCCGGTTGATATTATTCACCGACAACCATTATGATTTCACCTACGAAAATAGACTGAAATGTAAACTGTATATGCTTGCTATGCTATATCATGAAATGTTGGCTGAAATTCTAAAATGTGCATTCAGTTTGAAAAAATTACCTAAGTAGGACCGTAGTATAAGTTATCGTGCAGCACAATCCCAAAATACATTAGTCACGTCAGGATTACGGCCTTCAAACGAGCCTCCTATCTGCCACCTGCATGAACTGTACTCGCAAAAATGACAGTTTCCATGCACTTTCGGTGTCATTATAAGCCCAAATTTTTGTAATAGGAAAAATGCAAAAATGCTCCTACTTTTACGCACTAGGTCGCAAATCACGTTTTTTTCAAATTTTCTACTTGTAGATGGAGCAACACTCAGTTTTAAAACTTTTTCAGATTCCACATAATTAGGAACCCGACCTGCCGTTAGACTCTCACTCGGCGTTTTTCAACTAAAGGCTGTGAACTTTCAGAGTAAGAAAAATCATACATTTCTATGCTTCATAAGATATGAAAATGAATATGTACTAAGTTGTCCACTTTATAGGCAACCTTAATAAACCTGGGGTAGACATTTCACTGCCCCAAAAAATCTCATAAGTAGAAACGTTTATTCAAAGTTTCGACAAAATATGTCCAAGTTTATAAGGACATCCGGCGTCTGAACGTCCGTTGAGATTACACTGGTGCCGTTAACGAGCGTATGTAATTCCAAATGTCCTGTAGATGTCCAAATGCTGCTCTTAGGCCAAATAGCAACATTAATACTACCGATACAATCGAAGATGCGACTTCCAGGAACAAGTTGATCAGAAGAAGAAGCGATCGCTGGAACAAGGTCGTTATTCGTCTGATGTTTCGGTTTCTCACTTGAATCCATCATCAGAGGCAGTAGCAGAAAAGGGAGACTCGTGCACAGGAAGTTGCAGTATTTATAGGATGCAGTCGCTATGCTACCTCATACCTATAGCAATTAACCGCGTTCCCCTTCATGAAGGATCGTTGCCCGCTGGTGCGCTAATTGCTTGCTGGCCGGCATGC